GGCTAGGCTCTTCCCTCTCTCTCTCTACATAAGTTTCATACAGTGCAGATTTTCCCAGCTTGCCTTTCCCCCTCCCCTCTCTGTTTAACATTTATTTTTCTAAGTGCTTCGGGACTTGATGCACTTTTTCATTGCTTTTTTTTTTTTAAAGGAAGTTCTGGGAATAAGTCTAAAGACGCAAGTAGTTTGTTTACAGTACAGATTAACAGCGCGCTGCGATCAGCCTTCCCTGCCGCCCTCCTGCCCCGCAACTGCAATCAGGTCTAAAGTGGAATCTCACCGGCCACGTGAAGTTAAAGGGTAACTTAATGGGGCTGTCAAATCTCTCTGTATCCTTGACGCTGAAGGAGTTTATTCCCAGTACTGGGGTGATGATGCTGCCGAAAGTGCAGGAGCCCGGGGAGACCACTGCCTGAAAATGCTTCAAGCAAACGCGAAAGAAGGTCCTGCAGTGGGGGGAGCAGGGCTTCCCGCTGGCCAGAGCCCCGTGGCTATTCACGAACTCGTGCAGCTCCAGTTGGAAGACGCCAGAGCCGGACACCCTCTGCACAAAGGGGAGACATACAAAATAGCCAAATCAGAGCTTACCCAGGCTTTGCCATGCAAACTTGCTTCCATCACCCACTTTACATTTAGCGAACCCTTTTTTTTTTTTTTTTTGCAATGCGTGATTACCTGCTGCAAAATCATTAACAGAAACGTCAAGCCAAAGATGCGCAAGGCTGTCATCCTTGTGTTACTCAAGGCTTCCAATTCTTAGTGGGTTTAGTTTTCCTCCTGTATTCCTCAAATGGTCCAAGTAAGCGCTTCTCGCTTGATGGAGAAAAGAGAGGCGTCACGGCGAGTCTCCTAGAGCAACCTGCTCTTCCAAATATTCCCCGAGCACCAGCAGAAATTGGAAGGTAAAATCCAGGTGTTAAAACGTCCACTTCTGGGAATTAATCCTGCAGCCAACGACCAAACTCTGATTGCTTTAGTCGCCTTTATAAACTCCAGAGCCGAGGGGATTTGGTGAGAGACGCAAAGGGGAGTGCTTAGTGTTGAACTGCTCCTCCTTTAACTGGTGCTAACAGCGCTCAGTAAATGGAAAACTTGCTTCCCTTCGAGCTGTTTATATAGTTGCCTCGCATCCTCTCAAGCTCATTATGTAAACTGTCAGTCAGACTCACGGGCGATCCCTCCCCTTTTCCAGCTTTCCTTTCTGGAAAAAAAGAACCAAATGTTGTGGAGAGCCCTCATATCCAGAATTAATACCCTGCTGCCGCTGCCGCTGCTGCACTGACCGCCAAGGAGCCGAGCTGATTACCAACAAGCCAAGCATCTGTTGAGATATTTACAGCGCTCGCACTGGGAGAGTTCCCTCGAAAATCAGACGCCTCTCCAAAGAGCAGCTTCCCAGAGTGGCCGAACAATAGCGGATGAAATGTTTAAAAACACGTTTGCTCGCTCGCTCCCGTGCTTCCCCCTTCGTGCCACGTCCCCGCCCGTCCTCACCCCGACTTTTCCCCAGGGCCGCGCTGGGCGACGAGGGGCAGCGCGGCGCTGCT